GGGTAGCGCTATTTTTAAGTTGACAGGAATGACAACATGACATCATGACTTTTGCGTAAACATACACGCCACTTTCGAGTCAAGTGGCGAGTTCTCTACGCATTTTGAGCTATCCACGTGTATCCGCGTGCATGTCTACGCTATTAACGTCCGAGTGATTCCGCGTGTCTATGTCCGTGCGAAATGAAGCAAAATGTAGATCTACATCTGGGGAGCGATCTTTTTTTTCCTAGGATGGTGGTAAGGGAACAGTCATAAATGCCATTAACCCCAGTGACGGTTAGGTTTAGGGACGGGGTTGAGGTAAGTCATATATTTATATATACAGTAATAACGTTAAGTCAACGGCGTTCATAAACACGCTGAAAAGCGATTATGCGTCTTGATAGCACGCCAAAAATGGAAATACGAATTGGCGCGTCATACACACGCTACTTCATGAGATCAGTCTGGGAATGAAAACGATGCTCTGAGGGATCACAGTGGGTTCAATGGATTGTATTGTTGTTTAATAGCATAGCAATTATTTAGTCGATGAAACTCCATTAATCAGTTTTAAAAATTGCGAGATGTAAAAATCATGTGATCTACAGCTTTATACGGGGCATGCTATTGTAAAGAATAAGTCTATTCCTTCAGAACACCCTCATTTTCATTCGTCATAAATTCAATATGCCATCTAATCTTCATTAAGGTCTATTGTAAACTACAGTTACTTCACTGGATCTTTGTGAGATACTACAGATAAACCATCACTACTGAAATAAATCATATGCACAGACCTTCAAATGCAGTCGAAGCCTCGTCGGTTCTGACTCCGGCCATGTGGTACTGCTGTGCGACAGACTGTGCCAGCATCCCTTCCAGTCTGTCCAGTGTGGCCTGACCCTCTGACGTCAGGTGAGACAAGCCCTCCTCATAGGTGTAAAACGTGGGAACGTCTCCATGACCCTGCTCTTGCTCTAAAGAGAAAAACGTGTAAGAGAAACAATACATTGAAACAATGTGTGTGAAAGCTTCAGAAGAGACACCAAACTTCCATGGAGAACTTCAAAATTATTTAAAAGAAGCTAAATCAGCCAAAAATACAGGTTTAATCTGACATCACATTTCTAAGATCAATACATTTAAAAAAAACTCCAAATTACATTCTTTTAAGACAAGTGTTCTCACTGTCTTGGGATCCCTGGACACACTTTTTTAAATTTATTTTTATTTTTAGACCCTGAAAAGTCATAATAATTGATAAAATATTTAATATAATGAATAGAAATTTTTTCTAGTTATTTCAAGCTATATTATATCATGTAGAAATATGCTGAGAAATTGCCATCAAAGATCATTATTTTAAAATTAGTTAATTTAATTATTTGAATTTTAATATTTATAAATGTTATTTTATTATTCTAGAATAATGAATTTAGTTATATTAATTATAAATAGTTTATTTATTCCATTTACTTTAATACATTGCAACTCTGGTTTGTGCAAAAAAAAAAAAAAAAAAAGTCAGTCAGTCACAGCAGCTTTGGTACCACTTTAGTTCTTTAGTCCATTTCTCATTAATACTTATAAAGCACATTAATATTAATTAACACATATTAATGCCTTATTCTGCAAGGCCATATTCGACATACCTTAATACTATATAATACTACCATATTCCTAAACTTAACAACTACCTTACTAACTATAGATAAGCAGTCATTAGGAGGTTATTGAGGCAAAAGTCGTAGTTAATAGTGAGAATTGGACTCTAATCTAAAGTGTGACCGCAGCTTTAAAAGCAGAAATATCTTTACCTATCCACAAGTTTCCTACGCCCCATGAGGCCTTGCGTCAAAAGTGGGCGTGACTTCCGGTTGGAAGTAAACAAAGCGCGATTTGACATGCTTGACACTCGTTCATTCAACAGTTGACAGTCATTCAAGTTATAGCGATCCAAACTAGCTGACGATGTGGGAACACAACCTCAACGAAATTCAAAAGGGTGAAATAACAGTACCTTTACCCTCCGCAGTAGTTGATTGGGAGTATTATAATAACATTATTAAAAATCAATACTCATCAAGGCATGGTGACAGACAGTTGTGCGAGCTGACAAACAATTAAAATAAAAAATACACACTTAGTCATTGTGCTTTGGAGTTTATTCAAAATTATAAATGAATGTGCTGCTTGAATACATTAACTGGCACATTTGGTATTCTGTCAACTCAGGCTTTGATCCTGAGTTTAGGTGTAACATCATCAGTAGCGAACAGCCAATCACATGCTGATAGAGTTTATAGAATATTGAGAATTTAAACAAATGTACACAGGAAGATTCGTCGTCTTTTGGGAGGTGATGGAAACGACAGCCGTTGGCAGGATCAGAGACGGGCTCTGGCAGGATCACTCTGATTTCGTTTTCAGTTTATGTTCAAAACAATCACGTTTAAGCCACTGAATTAGTTTAGTCCGGTTATACATACAACCGCGAACAGCACATGTTGTCCTTGAGCTCCGTAACGACATGTCTTATAAAGATTTGCGTCTTTAAATAGTAAAATAATTCTCCGAAAAACAGCTAGCCTCTTCACGAACTAACACACAAAATACCATTGGAATGCTACTTCCGCCCCCTCACCGGAAGTTTCACCCACTTTATTTTTTACAGGAGGGCCCCTCGGAAACTTGTGGTTATGAGAGACCTATAAATATTGCCATGGACAACAGGTGACCTTGGAGTCAAAAAGGTTCAGAACCACTGCACTAGATGCATCATGGGTCCAAATGACACTCACCCGCCTCCTCTACGTCATACTCCTCTCCCTCATAATCGTCATCATCGGTGTCAGCGTCCTCGGGGTCCGGGTGCAGGGCCTGACATTCACACATGGTGGAGAACATGGGCTCCACTGCAGTGCACACACAAACACACGCTGTTACTCTCTACAGGAGTGATGCTCACACTGAACTCATCAGTGTTCGTTCCAAACACTCACATGCGGCTTTATCACTAGGCACAAAGCGGATCTCTGTGATGGTTTGCGAGTCTTCACTGTCGCTGTCACTCTCCTCATCATCCTCTAATGCATCATCTGGAGCTTTATCCTGCTGCTCTCCATCACCTTCATCTGGAAGACACAGAATTTCAGAACTCAGACTCAGAAAAGAACTGCTGACCAAAATGTCTGAAGTAATGCATCACTATTTTTTTTTTGTGGAAAATTATGTCTCACCATCCAGTTTTGCATTGACCATCACATACAGGTGCTCTTCTGGAAAGGAGCTAAGATCCCGTGAGATTGCATGCAGACTGATGGAAGGGTATTCAAGACAGAAACCCATCCCTGAACCATCAAACCAGGACAGATGCCTGCAAGGACACATAACAGCTGCATTAGTAAACATAGGTCCCCAAAACATCATGAGTGTAATATGGTAATGCACAACATAATCAAATACTAAATAACATAAATATAAAGCAAATTAAAGATGGAAAGAAACACCAACTGATGCTATCTGTGCCATTGTTCTACTAAAGTACTTTTCGTGAGGTGTCTACTAACCCTTGCTAGGCATGATATGTTTATGCATAAATATGTCCACAGGTGTCACCTGATGTAGAACACGCATCCCACGTGTACACAACACTAATGTTTTAAGTTAGTTAACGTGCACAGAGACTCACGCTTCAGCCACAAACAGAGTTCCAGATCCCAGTCTTTTCCCGTCCAGAACCGCGGTTGTTTCGGCTTGCTGGAGCCGCACGCCCTCGCTGGGTGGAGGTAAACTCTTCAACACTACCATTGTGATGAATTAAATCACCGTGAAGATGCTGAATGCGCTAACACTGATGCCCTAGTGAGACAATACACAGTCACAAAGCACTGCAAAAACAACAGTAACTCTCATTCAAGCGTTACCAAGCTTTCTCTTTTAAATTCATTAATATACAAAAAGTAAAATGCGACCGGTTTGCGTGGCGAGAAACTTTCGAATGGGTTTTATAGTTCAAAGATTCACTGTCATGCGTCACTTCTGTAGTTCTCACTCATTGTGCGACGACTGTCTCTAATAACTGTTTCCTGTGGGACACACGGGTCATTCCTGCAGGGGGCGCTGAGTGGCACAAAAATACGGATTCTCCATTGACTTGCATTGACGGGTAAATACGTTTTTGTCTTATTGGAGATGTTTGTGCAGTAATAAGTACAATTATTTCAATAATATTAATTACAAAGATAAATATACAACAAACAGGCGAATATTCACAAGCGCAATCTCTGTAGAAATATATTAGTCTGTAATAACAAACAGATTTTCATTGGTTCACTCCTCAAAACGCGGAGAAAAGTAACAACTATCTTATGATACCACTGACTGTTCGTTTGCAACGTCAGCACCGGTGTAAATAATTTTACACTTGAAATACTGACTAATGACAGATGACGTCCGTCCGGGCCACTAAGTACAACCAGAGCCCGTCTCTGGTACAACCCATTGTGTAAAACCATAATCCATTCTACCAATTATTTATTTCCATTCATCAGCGACATTCGCGCCGCTTTATGACGCAAAAAGAGCGCGTGCGTTTGATACCACAAGGCAAAACCCTAGCGCCTCCTCAGGATCGGAGGAAATATACAACAGAGTAAACACAAACAGTAGTAATTTGAATATTTTGGTTCATAATCCTTTGTGTACAGTGCATAAGTTCAATAGATTCATTTATTTTTTGCATTTGGGTAGTTGACCAATAAACAGTTTAATTATTCTATTATTCTTGTATGCAGTTTTATGACCTCACGTGACTTTGTATTCTCAATATTGTGTCAATATCAAACATATGACTACATTTGTGTACTTTCCCTTTACTTATACAGTCACACATTTTAACCTAAAATGTTAATATCGAAAATGAAATAGCCATAAATTTCAACTAGCCATACAAGTAAATGCTTCTTGTGTCTTGAATCCATTGAAGGTTTAAAACACACAAATTTCAAGCCAGGGACATTAACAGCAATATTAAGTTTATTTTTGTTTTGTGAATAATTTTTTTTTTTTTTTGAAATATGGAGACATACATCTGTAAAGTAAGAGTAAAATAAACTGAGAAGGAAAATGAATTCCAGTAGTACAAGGCTCAAAAACACATTCTTAACTGAAAGCAAGGACCATAATTATTAATCTAGTGCTTGTGGCTTTTGTTGTTATTGTTGTTTTTGGATTTATTCTGTAATGGGGTGGATTTGTGTTGGAATGACTTCCATAGTGTTCTAATTCAAACAATCCAGCATAAAAGACACCCGCTTGGAGTCAAAGAAACCTTTAAAAACAACTCTATGGAAAGAGCGATCCAGACTGCGGTGTCGAACAATGCGGTCCCACCATCAAAGGTGCTTGGTCGACAAGTGCATTCAGTTGACACATAAAGCTCAGACAGGGACTTAAAAGTGACTGAATGTCTCCGAAAACGTCCTAAAATTTCAGCAACAGCTTTCAAAGTGCAGAAATTTCATTATTTTTAAAATAATTAAATAATATTGTTTTTAACATCACATACAATGTTATTTTAGTAGAGAGTATATTAGTCTTTTTAAATAAAAAAATAATAATAATCGAAATGACAGATTACGATCATCATCCAATGTGTTTCGTCCTTTTTTGCTGGTCTACTAACTAGTTTAATTTCACCCAAAATGAAAAATTCTGCCATCATTCTCACCCCGAAGTTCGAGCTACTCGTTTCCATAAAACAAAAGAGAAAATCTCTTCTTGTGCTCCACAGAAAGTCACGTGGTTTTGCAATGACAAGAGGGCGAGCATATGATGTCAGGATTATCTTTTTTGGGTAAACTATCCCTTTAAGCCTTTAATTGGATGAAAGCATTTAGGCAAAGTTCGGCATCAAAGGTTAATGTACAACGTTTCCATGTACAACAAAGAATAAAACATTAATACAGAGAATGTAAACCTCTAAAACTCCAGTCTAAAACTAACAGAACACGTAAGCTTCAAATGCACGCCATCCAGTTTCTCCGGAGGACGACAAAGCCGCTTTATACAAACAAAACTGTACTGGCCGTTAATGACAAAGTGCTTTTACTCTGAGGAATGGTTACTGTAGTATTAAGGAGACCCTGTTCTAATCTGGGAAGGATGATACATGCGGATGTACGGAGTGGATTCAAACATCTGAAACGGACAAATACGGCATTCCTCTGGAAGCTTCATTTTTGGTCCACTACACCCAAAAACTACGGTGGCTGATGCGGGACATTCCCGTGACAGGTGACTCTCAGTCGAAAGGCTATGAGAAAATAAATGCATGTTTTACCTACAGAGCACATCATGACAACTGTTCACTGTCGAAAACAAAGTTAACAAGGTCCGTGACGCCAGTGAACTCTTCCTCGTCCTCATCGTCATCGTCATCCTGAGCTGCGGTCCTCAGCGGGACCAAGCCGTTGTGCCGGCCAGGACCTCGGGGGTCCGCAGTGTTTCTGGCCGTGTGCCTCCATCTGACATTTCCACGTTTGTTTTCCTCTTCCTCCTCCTCGTCTTCGTCTGTTTCTATGCGGTTCGACCTTTTGCGGAGGGGCTGCTCATCCTCCTCAGAGTCCTCTGTCTCTCCTCGGTCCTCCTCTTCATCTTCACTGGAGCTTTCCTGCCGAGTCCGTTTTATTACTTTGTGCCTAGGTTTGGAGTCTTTCCTAGTCGACTCGCACTTCCGTCCTCTTTCTGGTCTCTTGAGTGATTCCTTTGGCTCTAAGTCTTTAGAAAGCGTGGACTCTAGAAATATAGGATGAGACGAAAACAATTTACATTTCTAGTTGCAAATTAACATTATAGCTAACAGTATTTATTTAGTCTGATGATGTGGCAAAATAAACAGATGTAAATAGTAGGGCTGTGAAGCGATTAATCGCGATTAATCGCATCCAAAATAAAAGTTTGTTTACATAGTATATGTGTGTGTGTAGTGTGTATAATTATTTTGTATATATAAACACACACATGCATGTAATAAATATTTGCATATATATACTTTATATATATTTATACATGAATATTTGATATATTAATAATACATTTTTCTTAAATTTATACATGCATATGTGTGTATTTATACATACAAAATAATTATACACACCACACACACATATATTATGTAAAACTTTTATTTTGGATGTGAATGTGATTAATCGCGATTAATCGTTTCACAGCCCTAGTAAATAGCAAAACGGAGGGTCTTAAGAGATGCATTGTTTTGTTTTCATTTTGTCTTGTTGTGCAAAAAATAAATAAATAAACCATAATAAATAACCATAAATAAACCACTGAGGGTTTAGGCACTAGTACTTATACAAAAAAGGGCCACAAAAATCTTAGTAAATATATTTATATATACCCTCTATATACAGAGGCTACCCTCTGGTTGTCTTTGGTTATTTTAGAGTGAAAAATGTTGTTTTGATTCTTAAAGCTACACTGTGTGATTTTTACCCCCATCTAGCGGTGAAAAGGTATATGACCATCCAGTGAATATTAGTTTCTGTTCCTCTCAATTCCGATTTCGTTTCAACTCCTGCGGTGGCCAATGTAGTCCAAGATTAACATGGCTTCCAGTTCGACCTCGTCCATGAGCATTAACTCGAACGTAAACGCGAAAGGCGAAGCTTGAATTAACGGGTATGTCCCTCTTTGGCTAATGTACTTTCAAGAAGGAGGGGCAACATGGCGACCGACATTAGAATCCCTTACCCGCATGTATTTTCAATGGCATATTATACACTCACGAGAATACTTTATTACTTGAACGAAGTAAATATACATTAATGAGGACATATATTTTTGAAAGAACTAAGTGTTTTTAGCTAAGAATAAACTAAAAGAGTTACACAGTGTAGCTTTAAAAAAAAATGTACACAAAAAGGAAAATCTAAATTGTCTAAAAAAACACACACACTTTTGATCTTCAAGGTCAAAAATGACCAACAATAGCATTGAATGGGAGATACAAAAACACAGCAATTTTGAACAACTAGGGAATATACAGCCATATATATTTTATTTTATTTAGAAATAAATGGTGCATAATTTAGAGGTAAATATTGTCTAGTATGATGAAATGTACAAGAATAAATATCATTGAAACAAAATATAGTACATTCATATCATTCAAAAAATGTTAAGCTAATTGTCCTGGGCCTGTTTTGACCGCCAAGGATCACATGTGTGACCCCTGAGTGAGGAATATGAAGAGATGACATATATTAACAAATGTGAAAATAGGAGTGTGGTGGCGCTCACCTTCACTGTTGGAGCTGGACAGTCGTCGACGGTGAGGAAGAGTGGGGTGTTTCTGATCGGACACCTTCCGTGATCCCTCAGACTCTGACGTCTCGTAGTAGTTGACCTGAGAGTTCTGACTCCGTCGCGGACGCCTTCTGTTGACATCCACGTCGCTGTCGCTGAACTCATTAGAGCCTTCTGTTTCTGGCAAATGAACAAGTAAAAGAAATCATTCAATAGGACTCTCTACCCAAACCTATTGAACTGCTTAGCTAGACAGCCTACCTCCAAAAACAAAAACACCAAAAGTATGCCGTCATATGAAAGTTGCTGGGTGCAAAGAGTGGACATTTCAAAGTGTGGACTTAATTTACGTTAAGTAAGGATTCTGCCTTAGAAGATACAGTAGCTGTACATGTGAAACAGCTTTGAAATAGAGCACATATGTAATTCTTTTAATACAGACCCATTTCCTCTTCCTCCTCCTCTTCCTCTGAGTCTAACAGGTCCTCCTCTGAGGAGCCTCTTCGTCGAGCGGGAGGTCTGCGTTTGCTCCTCCTGCTTCTCTGGGTGAGTGCGGTTCTTCCTGTTCTTCTGGAGGCTGGTTGATTCTCAGCGCCACTGTCACCACTGCCCCATTCACTCCCCGCATCACCATCAGACGCACCCTCTCCCGAAACTACGAATTCCTCCTCCTCCAGGCTAGCATTACAAAAGCATATATATATTAATGCTGATTCTGACCCAGTTTTATGTGGAAACCTATATAGCATGAAATGCCAGTCTATTGAATTTATGAAAATGAAAAAAGCAAAACTGTTTCCACAAAAATACCTATTTTAAAGTACAACTAATTTCAACATTGATATTGACGAGAAATGTTTCTTAAAGGAACACGCCGACTTTTTGGGACTTATTCACCGTATCCCACAGAGTTAGATAAGTCCTTCTCATCTCTTTGTGTGCTGTACTGCTAGCCTAGCTTAGCACAAAGACTGGAAGTAAATGGCTACAGCTAGCATACTGCTCCCAATAACTGACAAAATAACACCAACATTTTCCTATTTATATGTTGTGATTTGTATAGTCACAGTGTGTACAAATAACAAGGTTATATGAGACACAGCCATCTATTTTCTCAGAAGGCGAAGCACTGCTACTTGGGTGGAGTGATACAAATCACAACATATAAATAGTCTGTGGAGAAATGCAATCATCCATAGCTACGGAGCTCAGTCATGAGAGCGAAGGCATCACGTCACAGGCTTACGACATCGATAAGAGGAGCGGTGTCCGCAAACTCAATTGCTTGAAAAATAGCAAATAATCCTTCTGATTGGTCGGTGTATTTTTGCTCTATACATTTTAGGTTTATACTCAAATTCAGATTGTGTTGGGGGGGTGGGATTATTAGGCCATAAATCAGACAATTTGACAGGAGAGATATAATTTTGGCAAAAAAAAAAAAATTCCCGGCCAATGTTTGTTAATTACCGGACAACGGAAACCCTGGGATGGACTTATCTAACTCTGGGGGATACGGTGAATAAGCTAAAGTCCCAAAAAGTCAACGTGTTCCTAGCAGGCTAGCAGTTAATTTAATTTGTAATATTCAAAATATTAGTTTTACTGTATTTTTGATTAAATACATACAGCCTAGGTTGAAACCTCTTTCAAAAACATTTAAACTAACCATCTAACCTCAATTTCAACCAATTTGTAGGACAAATATTAAGCATATTTCCCCCAAATTCTTTCATGGCTTTTTTGTTGTTGTTGTAATTCTCATTAATTCTCACAGTGATTCTCATGGTGAATCTCAATAGATGTAGTAGTCAGTTTAGTTTAGAGTACAAAATACTGTTATGAGTGACAATGACAAAAGTGACATTGATTTAAATTAAGCAGTGCGACACAACCATAATGTGTAAATAACTAACAGCTTTGCATTAAACTAATTAGAATTTAAGGGGAAATTGTGGTCCTAGAAATAGGAAAATATAAGACATTTATAGAAAAAAATAGTCTTTTTCTTTTGATTTTGGGATAAAATATGACCAGCTTTACAGCTTTTGTGAGATTCACCGATAGAAGATATAATATTACCCATTATATTTTGAAGAACTGGTAAAAAAAAAAAAATCCACCTGATTTGAACCCCAAAATCCCAAATTTGAACTAATATTCGTATATTTTAAACACACACCTATCACTAAGCTGAAACTCATCCTCGCTCTCCTCCTCATCCACCGTACTGTCACTGTCCAGGTCATTGAGTCGCCGACGCTTCTTTCGCGGCGCGAGAGGTTTCACATGCCGTCGACTCTCTCGGCTCACCGTGTTCCGCTGCTGACTCGTGACAGTCACTACAGGTTTACCGTGACCAGCACCTGCAGAACACCAGCAGTGAATTTAATATGCATAGAAACACATATTATAAAGTATGAAACAATATCTCAAATGACCAACCTCCTCCTTCTGAATCTTGAAGGTCTTCCTCTATTGCTTCATCAATGGCTTCATCAAAATCATCAAATCTGGTGGTTAGTAGTAAGAAAATGAAGAATTAGTTAGACTTATATCTTCTCTTAGAGTCTACAAGAAATATTTGAAAACTTTACAATAAGGTCCCATTAGTTAATGCATTAACTAATAAACAAATTAAAATTAATTGTTAAATTAATTAACAATAGGCAATACATTTGTTGTTAAAGTTAGTTAATAAATAAAACAACTATTCATTGTTCATGTTAGGTCAGGTCCATTAAATAATATTAACAGATACAACGTTTGATATTAGCAACTGTTAAAATTAACATTAAAGGTGTCCTATTATGCTTTCATACATCTTCAACTTTTTTTAAGTGTGAAATGTTGCAGTTTCAGCTTGAAAAAGGTCTGCAAAGTTAAAACAGAACTAAGTATATCCTAAGGGAGTTATTCTCTATATCAGTAATCACTATTTCTGAACTTCAATCAGAGCACACTGTGCTTTTCAGAAGGAGGGGCTTCATATAGACAGCTAGCTAGCTAGCTAGATAGATAGATAGATAGATAGATAGATAGATAGATAGTACTTTATTGTCCGTGTACACGGAAATTTATCTTGCAATACAAGCTCTTTCAATTGTAACACAAACAAGCTAAAAAAACAAAACATGAGGTCATCAATAAAAAGTATAAAAAGGTACTTAAATAATATTATGGGTACTCCGCCCCGCAAGAGTGTTCTTCAATAGCCATAAATATATACATATATTAAAATGCAAGTGGGGGGAAACTATCACTTCTTTCCTCTCACGTGTTGATTCATCAACTAGTGTTACTGACAGACTGGGAGAGAGGTGTAACAATTTTGAACATTCAAGCATGAAAACCCCTTATAGGAGACCGAAAACAAAATCAAAACAACATAGGACAAGATTAAAAAATGACTTCTCATTGTTAGTTCACTAATGTTATCAAACGGAGACTTATTGTAAAGTGCTACCAGAAATATTGATTACCTATAACTGATGGATTTCTTCATCCTAGTCGATCGCCTCCCCAGACTCTTACTTTTCTTGGCATCCTTTTTTTTCTCGGTCATGGGATCTTCTTCATCACCGTCCTGACATGATGAAGAAGTGCAAATTTAAAACCAAATAAAGGTAATCCCATTTTATTAATTTGTGTAATTTATATATCTTATATTAATTTAGATACAGCATAGCCTACTTTAGCATTATTTACTATAGTATGGCATATGGTACAATACAGTATGGCACTATATATAAATATAATATAAAATGGGCTGCATACTTACTGGATTGGGTATAATGTTCTCCACGCTGATACCCACATACACTAATCGCTCACGTCTGAGAGAAAACAAGAAAAATCTCAGAATCAGACTCACATGAGCATATTCATCATCCATCATGATTCATAGTAATGATGATGATGATAAGCTGGTGAGACCATTTATGAGGTGTGTGTGTGGATTTATACCTTCGTTCAGCTCTCTCTTTCTTCTTCAATGCAGTGTCCAGATTCAGAAGCTGTTCTTCCAGTCTCTGACAGAGAAGCTTCTGTAAATGACAAGAATATATACTTGATTAATATAGCTCACATACACACACATAAGGCATTAACACAGTGATTTAAGCCCTTACATGCTGGCAAGGAGGGCAAAACCATTCTCCATCAGGAATGATCATTAGAGGAGGTCTCAGACAGGCCGTGTGATATCCGCTGTCACACATGTCACAAAGAAGGATCTGGGACGAAAATACACAAGACAGAAAACGTGAAATTATGTTCTAGAATAGTAAATAAATAAATAGTGCCAAAGAAAGTACTAGGTAATATAAGGTAACTACATGGGTTAAGGTTAGTTTGTGGTTATAGTACCTAGTTATTACCCAGTTATTACATTTACATAGTATGTACATGGGGAAGACAGTACAATAAAGTAATACCTTTGTTTCTTCTAATCTTTTGCCATTTGACAGACAATCTCATCTTTTAGCTTAAATCATTTTAGAAACCCATATGTGCATCAATTGTTGTCTGAATAAACGTACAGTATGTGTTGGAGTTTTACTGAAAGCATTTTACTGAAAGCACATTCTGTATTGTGTTTTTCTTTTCTTTTTTTGCTTAGGCAATTTGGCAAGTTTTTCACCATACAGATAATAAAACATGTTATCTTAGCAATATTACTATTATGGCATTTTTAAATATTTAAATTAGTTTTTATTTTTTTAATTTTCAGTTTCCATTTTAATTCTAGTTCAAGTTATTTTTTTATACAGTTTTAGTTAAAGGGTAACTAAACCCCTGGTCAGAACCTGACTCAACCCACTGGCAATATTTGAAAAATACTGAAAAAGTGGGCAGACCCCAGCGGAGATAGAGGGGACGAAATTTCAAATTTCAATACTCGCAATTCCAACTCCTGACTCGCTACAGTGGTTTTGACGAAACAAGCTGTTTTTAATAAAACTTTTTATACTGCCAAGGGCGTAGCTCGTGCCAAGAGCGTGGTGAGCTGAAACCTGCGTACGTCACGAAGTGCGGAACATCCGATAGGAAAATTCAACTGCAGTAGCCACCGTTTAACCTGAAGAGGGCAGCACTAAGACGTTTTTACACCATATACTGTAGAAATTAAACACTTTATACACAAATGTCAAAAAAGTTACTCTAATCAACGACTGGTATTAATAAAGATCCATTCTTACAGATCATTAACTAAAAAAAGTTATTTTAAGGTTTAGTTACTCTTTAACAATAACAAAACTAGGTGACTTGCATTGAAGAGAAGCACCTGATCTCTTTTAATTTGGATTAGTAAGTAACCAAAGTAACAATTAACCACATAGAACCGCTCTAATACTGAGTTTTACATAAGCAAGCACCACTCATGTTGCTGTCATTTGATACTGTGGTTGTACACAGTACATGGAGTAAAATTTCCTTATTGAGGCATTAAAGCATAATCTATTTTCATTTCTTAAGTGGTAGTCTGAATTGATAAAAGAGAACTCACTAGTTCTGGGTGGTTAGCGAGCCCACAGTGTTTACAAGCATCTTCAGGTTGAATCTCGTTGGATTGGTCTGATTCGGTCTCACTCTTGTGGTCTTTTCTCTCTGATTTGGTGTCTTCATTGTTTGCAGCGTCGTCGTCGGCCACTTCCTCCTCCCGATCCGCAGCACCTTTGAGTTTGCTATTTTTCGTACGAATTTTCGACCAACGAGTACGCCTGTGTCGCCGTTTGGCCTAAAAGAGTAAAAAAACCAACATTTGCATAAATAAAAAGCTTTCTGTGCAATTTGTTCGACTGGATATAACAAGCTTTTGGACTACCTTCAAAGACTTAGGCTGTCCTTCCATGTCCACTTTTTTTTGCAACTCCTTGGGATTCACATTCACCTCTTCGTCCACTATGCGTTCCTCTTCATCTTGTGCTTCTGAGGAGGCCTTAAGTTTTCCATCTTGCTTCTTATCTCGACAATCTGCCACTTTGGGGCTAGGCTTGCAGATCCTGGCAGATCTCCGTAGGGATCTCCGATTGCTGGTTTCCAACTCTTCGATGTCCTTGTGCTGGAGTTCAGGCGTTCGCCTATGAAGCGGGATCTTGATTTTCAGGCGAATCCCCTCCTTCTGAAGCTCCGACGATACCTCTTCATTATCGTTGTGTCCAGTTTTTTCACTGTCTTCCGCATCCTTCACCAAACCCTCACCAATGCTGGATAAGTGCTCAGTGTTTTGGCTGTCTTCTTTCGCTTGGAGCTTGGATTTGGCTTTTTGTGACCTTCTCTTTCTTGGGCTTTTCAGTCGTTTGTCTTTGCTGTCGTCCTCAACATCAGTTTTTTCTCTGGCTGACAAAGTCTTGCTGTTTTTGAGTTCTTCTTCCTTGTCAATTTTGTCAACCTTTTCCTCAACTGAAGTCTTTTCCATCTCTTCAGTCATTGGCGACTCCTCAACAAGGTTTGATACTTTTGCTTCCACATCTGGGCTCTTATTGCAAGCATCTTTTGACACCAGATCCTCAAGGACACTGCATGGATGAGGACCATTGTCTGCTTTAACCATGGATTTCCCAACAAGTACAGACTGTCTTACGCTATCTGCGCCTCCAACTTCAGTCTTCAAGACATTCATATTCCCATGATGACCATTTGAAGAATTATCGTTTTCATTCAAAGGCTTCTTTCTCTCAATGGGACCTTTGATGACTCCAACACCTACGTATTGTTCTTGTGATACCGTATGGTAAAGATCAACAGTTGAATGCTTCCCAAGTAGCTTTTGTGGGACAGGGATGATGGCTGTTGGTCCTTTCTCCTCATCAGTTGGGAATTCTCTTTTGATTTGCTGCTCCTTCAATGGCAAGACGGCAGGATTGCGAACGATGATTCCTCCTGTGCTGATGCTGCCATTGCTGTTAAGGTTGTTGTTGCTGTGATTGACGTTGGTGTAGTGATTGCTGACATCATATCCTCCACTCCTTTTCAACTCCCTCTTCTTCAGCGGTATTTTAGCCTGTTGGTCGCTCTTTACAGTTCTAGCCACATTCCCAAACATCATCTCTTTCTTGTCATCGTGCACCTCGGATTTCTTTGCCGGTTCTTGTTTGATGGAAGCAGGAGGCATGACGACAGAAATGGCATTCCATGGTTTGGGATCATCTTTTTGTTCTTCTTTGACAAGAGTTTTGATCGTACTAACCCTGTTGTCGATGACCAGTTTAGGCTTGGAAATTTCAACAACTTTCTCCTCTTGCTCTGGTTTAACAGGATCCATTGGTGTTTCTTTTTTAATGTCTTTAGGTATTAACCCAATTTCACTGGAATTGAAGGTGGTATTGGAAAAGTCCCCTTGTCCCGATACAGGGTTTCTCAAGTTCTCAGCTTCAGCCTCACCTTGAATACAAAACAATACAGTAGTTGACAACTAGTCTGAATATTGAAGCAGACATGTTCCTCTCAATGTCTGTGGTGCTCAAAGCCCTAAATGGGAATGATTTTCCAATGAATTTTACCTTTAACACCTTCTGCCTCCATATTTGGGCTGGTGGGACAGCCTTGTGTCTCTTGGTCAGTCACGGGTGTGTCAATCTTGGCTTTAAGCTGTTCTAGTGTGTCAGCAAGATCATTCCTATTCCTGTTTAAAGTAAAATGCATTTCTTATTCCTTGATAAACTTCATTAAAGGAGGTATAACTATTATACTTCTAGAAAAAACATTCTGAGGAAACACAATGTTCAAAACATAGGTATTGAATGTGCTGTTAGTGTTCTTTAACTTAAGATTTTATGTTCTCATAACTTGATACTATATGTGAAATGTTTCTTTTGCTTATTATCATTTTAATAAACCATTTCTGGTATTTTCCCCACAAACTGCTTACTTCGCAATGCATTTCCAGGAGGATCCATCTAAATCATCCTGTTCTTCAGAATAAACACGTATATTCTGTTCTTGATCTAACTGGAACCAGTACAAAAGACCTTCCTTGTCTCTACCGATGGGTTGTAGACGCATCTTGTCTGGGTCTTCCTCGTTGATTAATGTCTTAAACTTGAGATTGTCATCAAACTGGCACTCACACAAGTACTGTTAATAAAATAAAGAATAAAGGTGAAACTCATTAAAAAAATATATTCAAGATATTATTCAAAGGAAATATTCAAAAATATTCATATTCAAGGCACACTTTACACACTTTATTTGGGGGTAAAATATGACCTGGACATGTTCTTGACAAGTTACATAAGAAGCAATACTTCATAAAACGATATCTCCATCAAAAAAAGTCAAACTATTATTGATGTATAGAAAATAAGTCCCCTGGGAAATACTGACCTTTAAAATGCCTGTCTTACACTCAACTGTCATTTCTAGGTAGCTTTTTCTTTCCATTTCCCATGCCCAGGTGCTGTTAAATTCCTGGCACACCTGCATCAAAAATGATTTAAACAAACAGACAGATTTGCATGGATATTTCCATTTTCACGGTATATGATTTAAAACTACAACACTTACCTTTACAAGATACTTCTCCCATCTCTCTGGTGTGACTGTTTTGCCGATCTTCCGCAGTAGTTTGACATGGAGCTCAATCAATGGCCGAGGAACTAAATTGTACAAAAAAAGACGTGAGACGTGTTAAATTATTATAGCATTTAAAACTTCACATTAAAACCTCTTTTTTGAGACATAAAAACCATGCTTGCGCTGACTTTCAACAAATATTATATTATATAATAATAGCAACTGTTTTCCTGTCCCACGCACTTGTTTTTCATTTTGCTCATACTGTCTATACCTTTTATTTATTGTTTAAAATAAATAAATTAGAAACACATCTCTCTCATTACTATATCATCGATTTATCCAATCAGCTATCAGCAATGTCAGAGCGAAAACATAATTATGCAGTGACGTTTACAAGCAATTCTCCTAAATGACAACATTAGTGCTGTGCAGCTCACATTCAGCTATTGTTATAAGAAACCTAGGAGTACACAATTAATACAGTATTTAAAGTGTACTGGACGTAAACAAATCTGTGCAGCGATTCTATTATTACAGTTAGCATAGGAAGTTTGACAGCGGCCTGCGCATGTGCAGTGTGCGGGTACACTCACATCGTTGTTTATAATCTGAACGTAAATGAATATCAGACCAATTTATCGTACTATACTGGAGTGTCTCTGTATTTAATGGTCGCCGACAGCATGATAACACCTTTAGCAGTGCGTATGGTCACTCTGACGGCAATCATACACTGATATTAATCTTTAAATTGGATTTTTCCATGGGAAAGGGTGGAAAAACCACACATGACTGCTTTAAAAACACTTCGCCACAGTCCATCTGAAGCATCGGGCACACGATTCTCATCCAAACAAAGACTACGAAGGTACAACAAGCCAAACTTTAAGTGATCAAACCCCTGATGGGCAAAGATGAGGAGCCTGTCCAAATAAACACAAACCCAGCCTCTCCCGCAGCTCACCCGCTGATGTATCTTGTAAGTATCGCTCCAGCTGAGGGAACGTCAGCTCGGGCAGATCCAGAACAGGCCCGTAGCGCTCCAAAAAAGAGCAGACCACCGCAAACCCGGGACTGAGCGCTGGAGGAAGAGCTGCTGTGGTGCCCGGAGCAGCCATCTTTCCTGGAGATGACGAGCTATGCTCTGCTTAGACCCAAAACTGCCCACAATACACCGCGACACCCACCCAGAGCATCATCCAGAGGGGCATCTAGTGTGTGTGTGTGTGTGTGTGTGTGTGTGTGTGTGTGTGGATCACCACAATGCTACCATCATCGTCGTCATCGTCTTCATAACAATAACATATAAAGTGTTATTGTTATTGTGATGAAGATGACGCCACACTTTCTTTTTTTCCACGTACACTATGCTAATAGAAAGAGTGTCGTGTTTGTGTTTATTCATGACCGGAATGAATTGTTAAATAAATTAGTAAAGTTAATATTTAAATGTAAATGAAAAAAATAATTAGAACAGAAAATCGTATATATTCATAATAAGTGCTGCTTTAACATGTCTTGTTTCACTGACACTTCTCTATCATAAATGGTCGTGCTTGTGTTTATTAAAATATTTTATATTATATATGAATATGAATAATTAAATTATAATAATAATAATTAATAATATATTTTTTTTATTTTAAAAAATATTTTATTTATTCCTTTAAATAAAATTATTTACTATATTATCCAATTAATATATTAATTTTGAATATTAATATTCTGAAGCTGCTGAGAGGATGTGGACCATGCCGTTGACAGACTGACTCCAGCTTTTATTACGTCACTGAACGGCAGCCAATCAGCGTAAAGGACTGAAGCGTACGCTGGTCGGTAACGTACGTGGTAGGTGTGGCCTACCGTCACACGAAGAAAAGCACAACACAAGTAAGATTGGGTTGCGGGCAGAGGCAAGATTATATAATGAAAAATATTTATAGTGCATGAGTTGTACATTTATAAAGTTGTTTTTGTAATAAAAATGATTAGTTGCCTGAATAAAAACTCGTTAGAGAAAGCAGGTTTTATGACATGCATGCATGTTCAAGTGTTATAAGCTGGGTAGATTAAGGTTGATCATTTGTAAATAGTTTTTTTTTTGTAAGTTAATTAAGTGTTTAAAAACAGTCAGGGTTTATTAGAGTGACATCCTGTACAAAGATGGCAATACTGAACGATTAACATATTGATATACCATACCAGTGATTTTACATTGACACTAGCACTAGAATAATAATAAGGAACTAGCATGGTACAAAAAAACAAACATGGTATTAAACTATAGTAATATAGTATAATACAATGTAAAAAGTTAAGAAAAAGACTAATAAATACATCTGATTTGTCTTCCACTGTTACAGGAAAGCTGAGCATGTCTTCTCCAGAGATTGCTTCCTTATCCTGGGGCCACATGAAGGTCAAAGGATGCTCTGCCTCCTATAAAGACTGTAAAGTGTGGCCTGGTGGCAGCCGTGCCTGGGACTGGCGTGAAACCGGCACAGATGTAAGTTAAACACCAGATCACACTGTAAAATCACCCCCATCTTTATTACATAGTTCTGGCATGAAACTCTTGAGTGGTGCAGGCTGATAGGTCTTGAAATTATTGGTAGCAATCATATCGTTATCTACACAGCACAGCTGATTGGTTGCTGTTGCATCAGCGGCCAATGAGCTTGCTGCTCAAACATTCAAATACTTGGCATTGTTTCTTGTTAACGGTCTGCGGCGCACTTTCAGAAACCCTCCCCAGCTCCACCTGTATAGATCTGCTAAGGAGTTAAATCATGTACAGTATGTCACATGTGCAGCAGCATGTCTTATATGTTCACAGCAATGTCTGTGAAGGTATTCACAGTAGCAAGTCTCGGTACTCAGTGTAGCAGATCTATTACACCACAACATTAACATTGCTATAAAATTAGAATTACATTATCTTGAATTTTTTTTTGGAATTTTCATAAAAACAGCAATGTATGCTTTGTAAAATCTGTTTTAGTGTTCATTGTACTTTTATAATATTTACATTTATGCATTTGGCAGATGCTTTTATCCAAAGCAACTTTCGTTTCATTCAAGGATATTTCATTGCATTCTATGAAATAACACAAGCAGATATATGGGAACTCTGTGGTGACCAGAAATCTTCAATATATCCATATTATCTTGTATTTCAACCAGTTGGCTTTAAATGTTATTTTTTAGAGATGTGTCTAACTAAGCACATCTATGGTCCTGCCAGCATTATCCCGGTGTCCAGCCAGCTGATCTGGAAGAGGTCCTGAGGAAAGGGGTGCAGACGCTGGTCATAGGGAGAGGGATGAGTGAAGCTCTACAGGTAGGATTGTGATTTCCATGATCAACACGGCTCATGATCTGAATATTACAATCCTTAAAAAGCTAATCTTTTTATCTTTTATGTTTCAGGTGCCTCCCTCCACCGTAGATTACGCGAAGAAGCAAGGTGTCGACGTCAAGGTGTTCCAGACCGAGCAGGCTGTTAAAGAATATAACGCTCTGGCGGGACAGGGTGCTAAAGTGGGCGGGGTCTTCCACTCCACCTGCTGATGACATCATTAACCCAACCAGCTAATTCATTTAATGCTGTGTTATCAAGTGCCTTACACTTCAAATTAACATTGTTTTCTTAAGAGATGCTTTATAATTTGCTCTCTGGGCTATTGGAGGAAATATTTTCCTTACTTTTGGTGAAAATGTTATTTAATGAAAATACCCCATTATCACAAACACCAGTGATACAAATGAACAAAAAAATGATTTATTTAATATTAAACATAATTGTGAAAACATTTTGATTTTGTGTTAATTTCACGCACACACACAGGGGTCAGCGACGAGCTGGTTTTGGCATAATGAAAACTTTAACAGGTTTGCTGAGGTGGATTGTGCCCTCAATTGAGCTCTCGCTGGTTGGGAGACCATCTATACTCTCATTCCACGCAGGTTTAGAGACATTTAGTTTACAGCTGCTGGTGCTGTAGGCCAGAAGCAACCGAACTTCAATCTGACAGGGCTCTGAGAGTAAAAACACACACAGACATGAGATGCACTTCAGATTACATTCTACTTTACAATGTGAATGAAAAAAGACTGGGATAGTAACAGATGATCCTAGTATTATATATATATATATATATACAGACATTAAAATACTACAGTATTTACATGGTAATCCAAGGTGCTTTTGTAAGTGCAGTATAACAAAACATTTTAGTTGTAATGTCTTTCTGCAATTTGTTAGTTAAGCATAAAACGAAGGTAAACATAAATAACACTTTTGCCCTTTGGAATAACATGCACTGATGAGTTGTGTACAGTGGACCTTGTGAATTATTTTCCAGTTATTAACATCATAAAACGTTTGTTTTAATTTTGTATAGTTTCATGTACATTTATAACACTATATTTTGTGTTTTGATACCCTGCTATTAAATTACAGAAAAAAGTTTTGATTTCGTGGTCTATTAGAGGTCTATTATTCCGGTCCCTATAAAGCCCTTCCTTCTAAAAAGCGCAATGCACTCTTATTGGTCAGCTGGACCTGTGTGTTGTGACTGGTCAACCGCTTTGAGCAAGTTTGGGAAATGTCATGTCCCTTGCCATAACCGCTAGTTTCAACACGCTATTAACGCAACGCAACCAGGCCTTCCCTGTTTTATGCTTATTGCTTTAGCTGGAATTTTTTAAATAAAGATATTGTGAAGTGCTCGTTCCCAGAAGAAAACTACTGTTGAGGCTTTTTTAGACACTAAAGAAAAATGAGTGTTTCTAATACCAATGGCTGAGAGAGTGATTGAAAATTTGACATTAATCTATCTCAAAAATGTTTTACTTTTTGGAAGTCATTGAAACTCTATTGTGGATTTTTATCTTACTACTGGGGCAAATGGGAATATTTCCGTTCACCACTATAGAGACTATGAAAGCAGAACTGCATTCAGCCTCAGCTTCGGTGCTCAGTATTCTTCTGGTCACACTCACAGATATAAAATAACTCGAGCAATATGCTGCCTTGTTGGACTAGATGCAGTTCTATTTATATCTGTGGAACTGTGAAGGGTTCATGCTGTTCGCTACCAGCAGAGAAGGATTTGTCTTTGTGTTTGCATGATTATTTTATACAAGGACTAAACACAAAGAATAGCTTCAGCATAATGATACTTGACCAAAAATACACAACTGATGTCTTGATGTGCATATGTCAGTTACTATCAGCAGAAAAAGACACATTTCAGAAAAGATACCAACCTGTCCAGGCAGAATGAGAGAGATAAACCTGCGTGATCAGTCGCACACGTCCAGGTCCTGGGGTCCTGAAATCTCCAGGTTTGGGGTGGATTATGTGAGACTGTCCATCTGGATACAGCACCTGTGGGAGGACGACATTTTTTTTTACACAAATTGAAGCAAAGTCATTTTATGCCATAAAACAATGGAAGAGTATTGACATTTATGCAACGGGCAAACGCTTTTATGCAATGCATTCAGGTAAAACTTTTATCAGTTCAAACCCATGACTTTGGCATTGATAGCTCTACTGTTTCAGCAACAGGAATACGTAAGGTGGGATCAATTGAGAATTGATTAGATGCTGAAAAAGTGAGGTCCTTTTTCCTTTTTTTATGAAAATAGAGTCAGTTTTTCTTTGCTTATATGTGATTCAACTGAAAAGAAATGAGGTTGAAGCATCTAACCTGCACTTTGACTGTTGTCTGTGGGTCTTGTACATGTTCAAGAGTAGCGTCTATATCTAACGCCACCACCAGACCAGAGGTGAATCTCAAAGCGTTGTCTGATTCTCCTGTCGGCTCGATAATTGTTGCTGACGCCCTGTGGATCTAAGCAAACCAAAATAAACAGAAAAAAAAAGGGATAACACACGTTTGGGAACAAACAAGCTGTTTTGTGTATCTTGAATCTGCGCACCTGCTCAGGTAGTTTGAGATGAATGAATCTGCTTTGCCGCAGTGTGGTCTGAAAGATTTTAACCAGATCATGAGGTTTGCAGGCCGTCAGCCTGGGCATCAACTCCAGGAGTTTCTCAACAAAACTGTCCTGGAAATGGGGCAACTCTGTCATGAAGAGCCTGAGAATGGAAAGACAAGAATATTCAGTGATTCTTCACAGTATCTTAAAGTAAGGGCAAGCTCACATTACAGGACTGTAAGACTAGCTGAATTGCTGTGGTGCTCACAC